CAGATCTCGTCGCACGCACTTGCCTGTCCCAGAGCCCGCCCGGAGTCCTAAGAGACTATTTGGCCCCCGGTCCCCCCTCTATATCTCGATCGATGGGCGAGGAGGTTTCTCCTTGCCCGCCCTGGGGCGCGTGCAGCGCCATCCAGTGGATAGGAGAAAAAGCGGCACGTCGGGAGCCGAGTTCGAGATCCCGATCGACCCCGCGGCGACAGGACCATGTGATTGTGTCTGAGGCGAGGCAACTGCATTGCCGCCTCGCAGCAACGATGCCAGATTGGTTTGATGGGCGCCCTCGTGAATGAACGGTGCGCCATTTTCTCCAACGTTGATAACAATGCATTATTAATGTCAACACCACGAGGGCTTTCCTTGAGGGCTACCACGTCCAGAAGCTCTGATCTCACGCTTTCTTTAGATGAAACATAACGAACAAATATTGCAAGCTGTTACTGGTCATGTATGGATATTCACATTGTAGGAATTAGCGCAAAAGTCAACTCACTCACACTGAAAATACACGCACACCAGAATAACGGTCACTAACGTCGCGCTGACTTACAACTCAGTTTGTATTTTCATCTTTTTTTTTAACCGTAATAAAATCAGAACTTTTGGGCAGTCACTTTTACCAGTATTAAAACTCATGACTTTTTGACATTCACTTCCGTGACTGTGGGTGCACTGCGGACTTCGAAAATAGCGCCGTAATTGGAAAGAACTATCACCAATTAACACGCGACATAATTGAGGCAGCTAACATCATGAAAAGAAGTGACACTTGTGTTAGTAGTCCATTTATAACACCAACTGAAACATAATTGTTATATCTTGAAAGTAGTAGTAGAATGCGTTTTGGGGAGGGGGTTGGGAAACCGACTGTTGTTGGGGCGTACTTAAGACGCCCGAAGGTAATGTGTGATAGACATTGCTATTTGTTTTGTACAGAAGACAACAAAGTGAGAAATGACGATTTTACTACGGGTAAAAGAAAAAGAAAAAAGACGAGAATGCAAACTGAGTTGTAAGTCAGCGCAACGTGAGTGACCGTTTTTCTGGTGTGCGTGTATTTCCAGTGTGAGTGAGTTTACTTTTGCGCTATTCGTAACTTTCAGCGATGGTGGTTCCGCGGTGTGAGAGTCGCGCTCCCTAGCTCCTGCATGATCGGCTTCAGAATACAGTTGCTTGCCTACACCTTCCTGACGTGAAAAAATGAAGCAAGGCTCTGATACTGCTCGTATACAGCAAAACTGGAATTACCCACGCGTCGGAAGCCCAGCCTCGTACTGCTGTTCTACGACGATCATCCAGATGACAGCTATTTTGATAGGCACCAGTACGCCCCCTATAGGTCGTGAAAGTTGCGAATATTCCCTACAATAACAATAATTGTCTTGTATATCCGTAGATTCATCAAAGGCTAAGATGAATGCTTTACAGCTGTTTAGGCCCTCCTGTAGGTTGTCGACGACGTCGGCGCTTAGCTGTGAAATGTGTCTTTCAACCTAATGTCGTGAAACTGGGACTTGGTTGACCAACCTTAGAAGATTCTTGTTGTTTGGATCCAACAATGCCACGACGTCGGAGATGCTGGTTTTTACAAACTCTCCTTCCGAGTAAGCTCGATTGGTACGAGCAATGTTCCAGGCGATTGCAAAGCTTGCTTCGGCTGCTAAGTCAGATTCCTTGCTGAAGGCCTTCATCAAGGATTGCTGATTCTAGAGTCGGAATTTGAGCTGGGTCAGTTTTGCTTTTTTCAGCTCAGATGAAGCGGGATAGTCCCGAGAAAGGGTTTCGTAATCGGTCTCATATTGCCGTTGAACATTGCTTGCCTTGTGGTACGAAACTGCAACATTAGAGATGAAGCAAAGGGGCTTACTGCTTTTCTCCCCGAAAGCGAAATCTTCCTCCCACTCAGGAAGGAATCTCCAATTTTTTTTTTCTTACTTGCATTTCTTCTTGGACGTTACTGCGACGACAGCCTCAGAACCTCGTCACAACTTCGCCATGGGTGTTTAGACGTAGGCAAAAATTAACTTTTTGTCTCGACAGAGCAGGGAGAATACCGTAGAGGCAGCTGAAGATATAATGATGGTGCTCCAGCTCCTCCTAGCTGACAGTCATTTAGCTGACAGTCATGTGCACATGTCCCCTTTTGCAATCCAGGCACGAATTTGGTACAGTAAACATTTTGCTCTTCCATGCATGCGTTCCAGACGCGCCTTCACTAACCGCTGCCCTAGTCATCCCCCCCTCCGCCCCAAAGCCTAAAAAAACAGCTTGTGGGTCACAATTGTAAGCCGGTAAAAATAACAATGCGAATGTTCCCGGTTTTTTGTGAACTTTAACATAACATCTGTAACTAGTGGAAGCTATGGATGAGTTCAACCTCGGCTTTGCGACCTCTAACAAGAAACGTTATAGAGGGAACATCCATTATCTAAAGGGGATATGTATCACCGGCGAGTGACAAAGGCCGCGTGACAGAATATTTCCTCGACCCCAGGCCAAAGTGCACGCATGGCCTGGGGTTGACAGTCCCTGTGCCTTTCCCCTAGGGTCCGCCAAACTCTCTCGAAGAATGAAATAAACAGGATCTCTGGAAACATACGAGTGAATAGCGGTTCGACTGTACGTATGGGGGCACATGGCTGCCAAACCGCAGCTTTTCTTTATTCTGCGATCGTTTCCTTCATTCCTGGGGAAACGCGGAAAGGGGCAAGAGTGGGGTGGGAGGGGGGGGGGGGTCATCTTACGAGGGATCCGCGATCCGCACTTGGACGGCACTTGGGCAGTCTTTAAATTACACTAATTGAAATACTGAAATATAATTACTTTCTTGTAATTTGTAATTGTAAGTCATTACTTTCGGCTAAAAGAAATTGTAATTGTAATTTAATTACTTTCTAGCGTCAGTAATTGCAAAATATGAGGCACAATTACAATTACTTTTGCAAGACTTTGCGGCGCCAACGCAACCTCTCGAAAGCCTTAGCGCTCGCACAAGCGGCCTAGCACTGGGTGACACATTCGCACAGATAGACACGCACCCGCACACGCGGACAACATAAATAGAGTCGCACTGTTTGTTGTTTTGCTGCTTACACTGCGGGCTAAGAGACAATCCTGGTTGACGCCTACCTCAACTGCGCCGTGTAGCGCCGTCTGCGGTACGAGGCAGAAAATAATAACGTAAACATGCCAAAATATTGAAAGAAACAAAATTTAGCTCCAGCTTTCAGCCTAGGTTGGGAATTTGAATTGTCTATGAAGTTATTTTTCAGTTCTTTTTTTTTTGCCAGTTTTTTACATCCCTCTTTCAGTGCTGTCACATATTTGTATATTTTTATTATTTTGAAGTTTATTTCTTGGTGGTTTGACTTCGAATATTATTTGCATACGCATTTCGGAGAATGAGCTCGCACCTGTGAATATTGTCACCAATGATTCTGGAGCCCCGATTCGGTCCGTATATATTTTTGAGCCATTATAATTTAAACTCAATGCAAATTATTCACAATAACATGATGCTTGTATGTGAATGTGGTCGTATTAGCGCGTGCGGATTTTAGTTTTAGAGTAACACTTGTAGAATATCCATATATGACTAATTGTCGCATTTTTATTTGCTTGGACAACAAGTGTGTCAAACCAATGTTTCTTTAGCGATCTGGCCTCTTCCAGCATATGAACTTATTTATTATTATTTATTAAAATGAATTAAGTTAATTAGTGTTATTTAGGTCCCTCATTTGCTAATTATCACGTTAAATTCTTTCCGTATGACATCCACCGCGATCGATATCGCTATAACGACTGAACCGGACCTTCAGTTCGAGAAATTTTTTTTTTCTTTTAAGCAGTCTGTAAAGCCCTGCATATTCCTGATGCATTCTGCATACGCGACGTTTGAGCAGTAAATTAAAGGCGCGCCTTTTTTTAATTTGCGGCTGCTTCGTTAAAGGGGCCCTGCAAGGACTTGTTTGCTGGTTTTTAATTTGCACCGATCCTGAGCTCACTGAACGTAGTAACTTAATGAAACTTTTCTAGAATTTCGCTTTATCTTAAAAATTATAGGCATATTAAAATTTCAAAAACAAGCAAGAATAACCACCTTCATGACGATCTTGGTTGCTTGAGTGGCCGTGAACTAGAGGAGGGGTAGTAACCCCAGCGAGCGCTCACGGCTGCCGCACTCCGTGTCGACGGCTCGATAGGGCGCCGCTAAATCATGTTCTGGATAGGCTGTATGAAGTGGACAGCCAGGGCAGCTCGCATTGTAATTGCTGCGCGATTAAACACTAATTCGGCATGACACTTCATTGGCCACAAGCGACAGCAAACACGGGGTAAAGATCAGTTTAGAACGGGAGCCACTTCGCGCTGCCATACTGCCAAACGTTCGAACTGCAAGCCAAGCCTTCTCGCCGAAGGCCTTCGGAACGCTCGGAACCGGTCGGATTTTCGAGCCTGCAACGACCGCAGCGCCGCCGGGTACATCCGGGACCTTTCTACGCTCGCCGCTCGTCGGTGACTGATCCCACTACACCTTTCTAGTTTACGCGCCTTTTCCACCACTTGGTGGCGGGTAAGTGGACGGGTTTTTTCTTGTTTACGTACTTAATAAACAGCACTTGTTTCTTTTCTGATCTAAAATACTGAACAAAAACTACTTTTATAAATAATTGAAACGGTTCGCGCCACTTATATTTTGTATTTCAACTAAAAAGAAGCTTCAGCGGCTCCGTCCAGTAGTAAGCCCAGGACCAAGGACGTCACATATCGCGCGCTTTCGGTACCGCGGGTCGCCCGCGTCGGTGGAGGAGGTTTCCGCGTCGTTCGGTTAAAATATGACACACTAATATTTAGTAACTTTCTTCGTGCCCGCTGGCTTACCCGAACCCGAAGAGACGTGGGAACCGCAAGAAAGATAGATGCTTAAATATGATTCAGGGCCCCTTTAAGCTGGCTTAAGTTCTCATCCTGCGAACAATGAATTGCAGGCGTGAACACTGGAGTGATGCCGATGAATTTGACGAGGATGCGAAACTTCGCTTGGGGGTCGAGGATGGAACCGCTTCTGGAGCAGTACGGTTCGCGCCTTAAGTGGGCTGACCAGGATATTGTGAACGTCATCTTCAACGAAAACCCGGACAAGCTCTTCCTGATGCCGTGCACGTGGAATTTCCGCCGAGACAACTGCGAGTTCCACGAGTCCTGCAAGGGCGAGGTTCCGGGCCTCCTGCACGCCAACCAACAATTCTTCACCAAGGACGGCGAACCTGCCCTCAGAGCTGCGCAGCTGGCCATGCGTGAGGTAAACACATGCGCCGAATAACTAAGGGATAGACCAGTCGTTGTCGGTCTTCTAGATAGGTGGCTATAATCTGTCCGCTGCCAATGCTACCATCCGATAGAGCTAGACCAATGTCGCGAGGAAAGACGGACCATGCGCCTGGTTTGTTTCACCGGTCATAGCAAACGCAGAAAGGCGACGAAAACTATGGCCATACCCTCTTGACCAGATATAGCGACGTCAACCGGAATCGGAAATCACTTCGCTATATCCACTATTTCGTTATAACCGACTTCGATATAACCGGTCTCGGGTCAAATATCGTTGGCCCATGTTGAACCTAGAGTGAAACCAAGTATAAAGCTTGCGCGGTGTAAGTGCAATATTGTTAGGGTTTAAGAGTAAGTAAAACTGTACACCTTATTCTTCAGAATTAGATCCAAAAAGCAGGATTATACACTGGGTACTGATTTAGTGTAAAGTCCACGCAGATATTTTTGAGTGATTAAAAGTATTTCCTTGGGTAGTTCACACCCGGAGGCTTGCGCATAGTAACACACGGTGCATGGTCCGCAATTTGTGCCTTGTCCGAAGGTAAACGAATTTTCATACAAATTACACCTTGACAAAATCCCACTTTATTGCGTCACGAAGAAGCTTGCATAATACATATAACTTAATTGACACACTCTTCCATTTACAGTTCTTCGTTCCTCGTCATAAAAAGCGATAAAAAAAGAACTCTTGTCTAGTCTCTAACTTTGGATTGTCTGCACGACGTACAAGAACAACGTTTAGACAGGCATAGACAACGAAGTATATAAAATACGGCACTTTTCGATGTGATAATGCGTACATCGCTAGACAAATTGCGACAGCTGCGTTTCCTTTGTGAGAGCTACCTCATATACTTGCCCGAGTGTGGTTGCCATTAAACTCTGTTTTCAAAATATATGAAAACAGCTTTTGTCCAGAGTTGATTATAAAACATTTTTTTCTTTCACTTCATGGCATCGAAAATTTACGAGAAAATGTACTTAACCCTGACAAAACGTTACACTCTCCCAGAGATCGCCACATTGACTTGTACAAGTATCGTTTGCGATTATTCGTACCAGAGTGTCTCCAGATAAGGACAGTCAGAGGGGTGTCATGTTTCTATATTTTTGTGTTCAATTAATATTTTTTACGAAGAAACAAGGGAACGCACCTTACTCTTGCAAGGTACTTTCTAGTTTTCATATGAAAAGATCGCGTCTCAGTGGAGGCTCAACCTGCATCTTTCCCAAGTGCGAGTCGACGCAAATTCAAGGTCAAGGAAGTAAAGTATACTACTTTAAACACCGTCGTCATTTTTATGCGTAATGCACAAAAATGTGTTAACTTGAATGAGAAAAATTAATTTGATTTGATATTAAATTCAATGGTAAGTGTAATGTGAATTTGGCTTTTTCAGCAACTCTTCTAAAATAACAAATTTATTTTATTTGAGCTTATACTCAAACATAAATAAAATGAGAATTTGGCTTTGTCACCAAATCTTCTAGAATATTTTTATAGGAGCTTATATTTCAGTAGAAATATGATGAAAATTTGTCTTTTTGAGGAACTCATTTATAATGAGGCATTTTGGATAATTTTACAACATGTTAGAATTAAATGTTTGAGATCAAATGTTTTGCGCAGTGGTGTATCACAGTCTGGGCACGTTTAACAAAATATGCAGCGTTCTTATGTTGTATGCCATTTTTGCGGTGCTCCCTGGTGTGTTTTGACGATTAAAAAAGTCTTGATTGCGACACCTTGTATAGCAATAACGAAATAAGCATCCTCGTTGTTCTTAAAACTTGATTTCATGGATCCTTAGCAGCTGCTAAATAAAAATTTACGGGAACACGTTTTAAGTTAAAAAAAATGAGAGACGTTTACAACCCTCTGTAATGCCGAATTAGAGCGCAGCTCTTGGGGCGGAGGAGGAGAGGGTACGTAGGAGAGCGCCATGTGTGGCGTCAGGCGAGACGTCACGTGTGACGTCACGAGGGTAAAATTTTCCCGCTCAATTTAGCGGAAAAATTTACCACCAAATTCCCCAGGAAAATTTTGCCCTCATGACGTCACACGTGACGTCACGTGTCACGGCATTATGGAAAGCTTTCCATAATGCAACGCGCAGTTACGCCGACAGCGACGGTGACGCCGCTCAGGGCGGAAACGGGCGCCTATAAGAGCTGTGCTTTAAAGTATAAACGTGTAATCAGGTTTATGTTGCAGCCGATTACCTTTGGGGGTTCCTGTCATAACAGCTAAACTCACTGTATCCCGGGAAAGTAGCGCCATTGTCTTGACTGCCTGCTAAGAGTACAGAGGAAGGTACTAACTTATAGACGACAGAAACCTCACCAGCGATTAGCTGATTCGTCTTTATTGCCATGACAATAACCATATAGGTCCTTTCGAACCACTGAAGCTTCGGAAGGTTCGCTCTTAACCTATTGCGACCAGGTCGACTTCATATGTGCTTTGCTTAGGGTGATGCCATCTGATCATCTTGTTCCCAGCGCTTTCGTTTCTTTTTTGTTCCTGAGCGTGAGCGAGCGCGCCTCCGTGCACAAGCTTTTGGCATTGAGGGTGCTACGACGACAGTGTTTTACAGCCATTTGTTTGTATTTTGTACAGCGAAGCTGTCTTTGGCTAGGCTCTGGCGGATCATCTCCGGCGACAGACCGAGCGTAGAACGACAATTTTCAAACACAACGACGTATGCACCACTTCATACTCCTCTCGACCTCCGCCGCCTCTTTCCCGAGTAGTGTATACTCCTCGCCATGCGCGGCGTCTCTCTATTCCCTGACATTATGCAATGCCACGCGCTCTTCGGCAGCCACCTGTGCGGCGCACTCAACATAGCAAATCCCCAATTTAGCTAAACCCCAACTTAGCAAATCCCACCAGAGCGCCAGCTTCGCTGGCCTTCCCTCTTCACGGGGTGGAAGGGCCCTCAATTTCTAGGGAGCACGTGCTGTCGGCATCAGGTAGTACCAAGTATTCCACCACCCTAAGGAAAGCGCACGTGAAGGCACCCTAGTCGTGACAAAATTGCTATGCAGCGTCATCGTCCTGAAAACGTTACTCGCCAATATAAACGTTAATCATGTTGAACAAATCTGAGACTGGGGCAGATGTGACATTCATTAACATTCACCAGTTCGACGTCACCCTTACTATATTATCCCAAATATAAGCGTCTTTGGCGCTGTGTATCCAATGCACTTATCAGTCATAGCTTTCTCCGCATATTCCTTATGATGGTATTGCTCTTCATGGGTATTTCAAGACAGGGAAATTATTTTTCCAGTGCCACCAAGCACCGACGCCCCACATTGTGGTGGTGCGAAACTGTTATTTTGCCGTTGTCTGGATAATCAAATCTTTGTGTACAAGACATGTCTTCATAAAGCAACCTGTCACCGCGACTTCAGACCGACTCACAAAGAATGGGGATATCAAAAAGAAACTGTTCATTCTATGAACCAAAATGTCGACCATACGGTGAGCTTGGTGCTACTTTCCCGGGGTCCAGTGATTATATTAACTACTAGTAGCACTCCACCACCGAATGCCATAGTGGCCGTACCTGGTCATGTAAACATCCGGGCACCATGAAGTACTATAAAAAGAAACATGAGCTTTTTTTTTTTTTTTAGTTGGTTGGCTGATATTGCTTGAAGGACACATGCAAAGGGAAATCTTTTTTTTTTAACAGCCTAGTAGGAAAGCGTTTGCTCAGCTAACGAGGAAATAGTACATTACATTAAGCCCCCTACTGCTGTAACTGATTTTCGCATTGCGCCCGGAAGATGTTTTTTTTAATCGAAAAAGTAAAAAGTATGCAATCCCCGTGCAACAGTGAAAATAGTTATAGATATTTTTATACTGCATTTCATGAATCTTTGAGGAACTGTAATTATGAATGTCTAAAAAATATGTTGCCGTATTTTGTTATAAGGCAATAAAGAAACGCTGAACCAGTTACCATTTGTGGGGGAGGGGTAGTGTGCTAACAACTACACTTGTTTTCACCTCAAGAACTGAAGTAAAAAAAAAAATCCGGCTCTTCGCATTACTAATTTCCCCGTTTGTGTAGAGAATTAAGATATATGAAACCTAATTTTAGAATAGATATATGTTATCTTAACAAGGCGAACCCGCTGCAAACGCAGAAAATCATCGCTTCTCCTCCGACAACCAAATCTCGTAAGAACTACTTCGCGTGGCGTATGAACAATACGCAAAACTTGCTTCTTTCTTGACATGAAAACGAGTATAGTCGACGGCAGGCCACCGACTACTAGTCGTTAGGACAGTACCCCCCCCCTCCCCCCAAACGATACCTTTTTAAGTGATTATTTTTTACCTTGAAGCAATATAGGCAACATTTTTTTTTACAAATTTGGAATTACCGGTTGTTAAAGATATATTAAGTGCAGTTTAAAAAGCTTCGGCAAAATTATTGTTTTTCTTTAATCGTGCAAAGATTGCATACAGTTGACTTTTTCGATTTTAAACAAAGATCCGGGCGCAATGCGAAAACCAGTCGGAACAGTTGAGCGCGTGTCTCTTCGATGAAAGTACAAAAAGCATGATATACTCTGCCCAAACGTTCTGCTCAAAGACCTACTTCTAATGTATTTTCGAAGGTCGCCGAGAAATGCCCCAATACAAAAGGAGTTGCTTCTTCGCTCCGTTTCTCCTACTGAAAAAAATTATATGAATCTATATAAGAACTGATTTGAAATATACAAAAACTGATATGCGACATATCAAACTGATATGAAATATACAAAAAATGATATGCGATATATGAAACTGATATAAAATACCCCAAAACTGATATGTGACATAAAAAACTCATATGCAACATATGCCAACTGATATGAATGTGTCCAATAAACGTATCAGAAATAAATTCATATAACGTTTTATTAGTATACGACGTGCCGCGAGGGCAAGGAAACACATGG